ACATGTGTGTAAACACATTGTGCGTTTAGCTTATACCAAAGCTTGTTTTTTCTTTTCCTGCACCTTACATTCTACATTTTTTGAACAAATGGGCAGGGGCGGATCCAAGGGGATCCCGGGGTAGCCGGGGATACCCCTCAAATTTTTTTCGATAGTGTAATTTTTGTTTACACATCCCTCAAATTTTTTTCGGTATATTGTATATATATATGTATCCCTTCACTTATAAAAAGAAACAAGTAACTGGTCTGTTGGTTAAGGTGCTGGCTTATTGAAACAAAGGTTTCAGGTTCGATTCATGCTCCTTACATATCTTTGTTTACTTTTTGTTTTTTTTTTCCCAGCTATTCTATCCCGCATCGCTAAACACATGTAAAATCAGTCATATTTCTCTATTATATAAACATGTTATCCTCATTCTTCATTTGATATGTACTTTGAGTCCCACATCGATTCAAGTATCAAAATATACTTCAACTTCATGTTTATATAACAAGACTTGAGGTTAGTTAAGGATTTAATTAAGGTTTGGGTTCAAAACCGAAACCAAACCAGGGAAACCCAAGTACCCTAGAAAAAAATTGGGTTACCTTAAAAAAAAATTGAGGATACCCCTTTACTTTGATCCTGGCTCTGCCACTGCAAATGGACGCTCTACAAATGAAGCCTATGTGATTCGAATATGAGTCTAACTCCTTTTTAACGTATTTTTTACCAAATGATCATAGCTAGGCCATCATAAATGTCATTTAGTAATTTATGACAATTCCTCACAAAGTTGACCAAATAATAACAAAAGTACTGAAAAAAGCCATGATGTCAGAATAAACTTGATGATATATAATAAAAATGAGGCTTGGCATTTACTAACACCAATGTTTTAAAATCGGTTCAAAGCTGTTGGAATAGGAACGGTTCAACCAGCACCGGTTTATGCCCTTTTTTAGACCGGAATGAACCGGCCGATTTTTTCAAAAAAAATTGTTTGAATCGGTTAAATTGAATAAAACATACGAAAATAAAGCATTTTGCATAACAAACTTTAGTGATCGTTTCACATCTATTTAGATTTTTCTTAATTTGAATAAAAATACATAGCAAACGTGATGAAGCTTTTTGATGCGTGTGTATTCATCTAAAATTATATTTTGTTTCAGTATTATACTTTAATGTATGTGGATTAATGTAAAACTTATGGTTTTGTATTTATTTTTTTAATGTAATTAGAGTGAGGTGTAACAAGAAAGGATAGAGAAAAAGTAGAGAAGAAAGTAGGAGGTGAGGGGAGTTGTCGGAGGTAGTGGAAGTCGATGGAGGTGCATCTAAAAAAAGGATGGGTGTAGGAGAGGAAGACAATATATGGAAGAAGAGAGATTATGGATTTGTTGAATTAGATTGGAAATCCCTCATTCTGATTCATTCTCAAGTTTGCTTTAGGAGGGTGGTGATTTGTTTCATTTTTGGTTTCCAACGAGGGAAAAGGCAAGGAGGAAGACAACATGATAGGGATGGCAATGTAACACATTTGGGATGGGTATTGGTGATCCAGTCCCAGAATCGATTATAAAACTATATACCAAACCCGATTAGTAAATAACCATCGGGCTGGCAAGTATACCCCCACGAATCGGGGTTCCCATTTATGATCACAATGTGTTAAATATCACTTGTTGAAATTTCCGTTACTAAAAACATGATCAAAACATCGTCCTAAAATTAACTTGAATTTTTTAGTACTATATCCCAAATAATATATATATATATATATATATATATATATATATATATATATATATATATATATATATATAAAGGTAAAAAAAATAACATCTAGCAAATTGTATATAACTATAATCATCTAACATACCAATTTTAAAATATCTAAATTTAACATGGTTCTAAAAGGCACACCATATCGTGCGCCAAGACATGTCATGGCGTGATGCATGATGTAGCCGTATCAAAAACATCCAAGACGGATTTGTTATTCGTAGCGCCCAAATAACGAGTCAAGGTGTGCCTTATTGTGTTATGACACAATTTGTTTTTCTTTCTTATTGGACATAGAACATTGAGATTTATACCTTTCATATTAAATGATATAACACTTATAAAAATTTGATATATTTGATATAATTCTATAATTATATCATTTATCTTTTTTAATGCTTATAAAATTGTCACGCCTTGAAAAACATTATAGTTTGCCATGACTTTACATTGCAGTCACGTCACACCTCACGCCATTTATAACCTTTAAAGTTCATGATAAATAAATCCAAATCATAGCATAAATAATGAAAACAATACCATAAATCTCCGTTCTAGGGTGTAAGTGAACATACATAAGAAACTTTATATTGCTAACATAACATATAAACTATAACTATAATAATAATAATAATAATAATAATAATTATTATTATTATTAGTATTATTATTATTATTATTATATATATATATATATATATATATATATATATATATATTGGGTCAGGTAACGAGACCGGGTATAGGAACGGGAACAAGAACATGTAATTGAGCATGTGTTACTCTAATATCATAACCATCCTAAGCCTATAAAAAAAATTTAAAACCAATCTCATACACAGTCCCATAACCATGTAATTGACACAAAACTCATCACAAAAGTTTAGGGTGCGTTTAGTTGCGGAAAAATAGGCCGTTTTCCGGAAAAATTTTCCAAGAAAAATGAGAATTTTGAAAATGCGTTTAGTTCGTCTATTTTTCTAAATTTTTCACGGAAAATAAAAATTTTTCGTTTTCTAAAATTACAAAGAAGTTGGAAAATTTTGGAAAACCGATAAATCATTGTTTTCCACATTTTTCTAATTCCAAAATTTTTCTAAAATATAAACACCGTCTCCCACCCCCATCCACCTCTACCTACCCTCACCTTAACACCCCCAACCCACCACACCCCTACCTACCTACACTCACTCCTAAGCCCACCCCCATAAACACACACACACTCCAACCTCCACCCACAAATACACACACACACACACCAACCTCCACAAACACACACACACACACACACCCACCCACACCCCCACAAATACACACCCACCAACCCCCACAAACACACACACACAAACCCACACCCACACCCACCCCTACACCACAACACACACACAACACACAACACACACACACCACCCCCACCCCCCCCCACACACACACACACACCACACCCACCCCCCCCCCCCACACACACACACACACACACCCCACCCCCACCCACACACACCCACCCACCCACAAACACCCACCACACACAAACCCACCACACACCCCCACACACACAAACACACACACCACCAACCCCCACAAACACACACACACACACACACACACACACACACCCACCCCCACAAACATACACACACACACCTACAAACACACACACACACACACACCAACCCCTACAAACTCACACCCACCCCACACCCACACAAAACACACACACCCACCCAACACCACTACCACAATCACCGACTTACCATCACCATCACCATCACCACTACCCCATCACCACCACCGCCGCCATCACCACCACTGCCACAATTGCCGCCGCAACCACCACCGCCTGTCCCCCCGCCGCTGCCCCTACCACCGCCACCGTCCCACGCTCACTCTACCACCGCTACCGTTTTCTAAAAATGAAAACCAATAGAAAATACACATCTAAACACGTTTTCTAATTTTCTAAAACTGAAAATGAAAAATGAAAAATGAATAAGTTTTAACTAAACGCGTTTTCTAAATTTTCCAATGAAAACCGAAAACGAAAAAATGAAAACTGAACAGGGAAAACGAAAAATAGAAAATGAAAACTGTTTTTCCGTAACTAAACGCAACCTTAGTGTTTGGTTTTTCCCATTTGGTTCGGGTACTTTTGTAATCCCTAAACATGAAAAGGGGTTTGGTGGAGTTAGAGATGTGATTGTCAGTGAAGATGAAATAAAGGGCAGGTGCGGATTGCAGATGGATTTTAGGGTTGTGTATTAAGTATAATGTACGATAGAGGTTGGGGGAAAAATAATAACATATAACAATAAAAATAAATAATAAAGATACTAATTAAGGATGTTAAAAAGTCATGTGGGACCTCGATCCAATATGAGGGATATTTGTTTAAAAAATAGAGGACGGGGGTAAGGTTAACCCCCATTTTAATTTCGGAGGCGGAGGCGAAGGCGGAGGCGGAGGCTGGGTGGGCAGTCCCGTCTCAAACCCCCAATGAGGCCCCGTTAATATATTATTTATATTGATATATATTAATTATATAAATATAATAAATTATAGTAATGATTTTGAGCTTCCAAAATCAACAAAATATCATGTTTTTAAGTTGTTAGTATAATGTTTTTTAGATGTTATATTATTTTTGTTTTTAACATGTAAAATAATGCTATAAATAATTATTTTTTACCCAAAAAAATAGCTTCTTTTAGCCCAAAAAAACATTCTTTTAGTCCTAAAGACGACTTATTTAGCCCAAAAAAAGAAAGCCCAACCGAGAGCAGAGGTGGGGATAATCCAAGATTCAGAGGCAAAGGTGAGGAGGCTAGAAATTTCAGAAAACAAGGGCGGGGGCAAGGGAACGGAGGAATTTCGGGGGTGGGGGTAGGGGCGGGGGATGCAACCCCCGCCCCGTTTGTCCCTGTTGACAACCCTAGTATTAATTTAGTAATTTCCCTAGGACTTGACAGATTATGGTTAGTGGTATCAAGTGAAGAGACCAAAACCACAACCACACCTTATTTTTGCAAGTTGAAACTTTTTTGGACCTTAGCCAAAGAAGTGCAAACCCCAAGGACCATTTTTGCAGTTTTCTCTAAATTTAATTGTAAATTGAAAGAAAAACAAAACACATATTTATTTTACATATAAAATAGTACAATGTCTAAAATAAAATATGTCTTAAAGTACATTTTTATTATATATATATATATATATATATATATATATATATATATAACCGATTTAGTCAGCATTCCAGCTCTGCTCAACAATCTCTCGCACTCTCCTGTTGTACTCGCGTTTATTTTCGCTGAATGCCCGCGCAGCTTCTGAATTCGCAGGAGAGTTTGGGTTTGGGTCGCAAAGCAACGACTGTCAAAAATAGCAATGTACTTTCATTTTCATTTTCATATATATATACTTTTTATTATAGAATGTATTTTAACCCATTAGTATATCATTAATATAATGCATAAAAAAAATCATAGAAAGTTATACCTGGATGGAGGTGAGAATAGCAGCAACATCATAGATAGGACTCCATTGATTTTGCAAGATGTCCAAACAAATACTTCCATCAGCATAAACTGTTTGTTGTATACAAATATGTATTATTAATAAATAATAACTGAAGTACACTACATGAAAATAATAAATTGTTGCTTATAGAGTTATTGTTATACTTACTATTTGGGTGGAACATACGAGAAACAAATCTCACAGTTGGTGCCTTATTAGGATAATCCTCTGAATATTGTAGAGCCAATTTAAACGTACCTATTAGTTCAATGATATGTTAATAATTTAGCATTACATGATAATGAAAAAAATATATATAAAAAAAGAGGAAAGAAAATGATGTTACCTCCATCCCATGGACTGTCATCCGGGCTGAAATAAAAAGACAACATGCATTACATAATATGTGATTGTAATATAAATGTGTATAAACATGGAAAACAAAAAAAGAATCAATGGTAAGAATTATTATTTAGTACCCAAATATTACAGCATTCCACAGCATTATATTATTGTCTTGGGGTGCTCCACTAATGCCTGCAGGAGGGTCTTGTTGTAACCTCTTGAAATCCCTCATCAGCCTCTTTCTAGCAGGAGTTGACATTGTACTCACCTAGCAAAGAAGAAGGGCAAATAGGTAAAAAAAAAAAAAAGGGTTAGTGTCCCAATACATTAAGCTGGCTTTTTGGCTTGAACAACTAAGTCATGTTGTCCAGATTAGGTCAAAAAGAAACATCCATATATAGCTTTCCAGATTAAGTGCTTAACCCATTAAGTCAAAAGGGTTTTATGGGGCAATGAGTTCAAGATCTTGAAAGACCTTATCTTATAAGTTATGGAAAAACAATAAGCGGTCATTTACAGGTGATAAGTTTCAAACAATCACAGATTCAATACAGTAATGGAATTGGGGACTTTTTATGATCGATTTTAATCTTATTTGTGGAGAATGGACTTTATATAATCGATCTTATACTTATTTGTGGAGAGTGGACTTTGTATAATCGATGTATCAGTAGAATAAAATGGTTCGAGCTATTAGATATTTGAACTCCAATTCCACAAAACCAAAGATATAAGATCGAAATCCTAGATCCAAAATTAAGTTGCTCCAAAACCTAAGATTAGGGTTTCATCAAAATCACACAACGCGATACTTCAAGATGACAAATTTTAGACAAACTTAACATAATGGAAACCATAAGAAGAATCATAAAATTAAAGAATCAAAAGCAGATCATCGTAGGAAATCCGACTTACCCTCGTAAGTAAATCCTGTGCTAGAACCTTGTAAGTAATCTCCCACACACAGCGTCAAGTGATGGAAAGTTAGGTGATTTATCGATTGAAAGAAGCCAAAGTAATATGAACTATCAAGGAGAGAGTTTCATGACAAGACGACCGGTGAACCACTGGAAAGAGGAGAATTGTTGGGCGATGTGCGTGTATGAGAGAGAAAGAGCACTTTTAATCTTATCGGTTGCTTTCTCGATTGCTTCCATGGACCTACAAAGGTGTATGGATTTACTGTAAAACACTCGAACTATAGTTTTTTATCGACAAAATTGCAAAAATGGTCTTTATGTTTGGCAAAATTATGCGATTTTGGTCCAAAACGAAACCTTGATGCACCACTGGTCCAAAATTGGATTTTTCCATTGTTTTTGTTCCCTCACACTAACTTCCGTCCATATGCTCCGTTACCTGCAATATAGACGGGGGTATTTTCGTCTTTCCACATCTATATCATCGATTACCGCCATATTGAATGATATACACAGTTAATGACCCTTCACTCTACCCACTAAACCCACTTTGTTGATCGAAAACCCTAATCATTCCTTGAAATCTTGCATTTGATCATTAACTTCAATCGTAAGTTCAAATCCACGAGTATGCTCCAAATGTGGGAAATCAGGCCAAGAAATCAGTGTTTTGATGCAATCCGAATTTACGGTAACGTACTCTGTTTCTTACATATTTCTTTGAAACAAAAAAAAATCTTTTACAATCCATATAAAGTAATGTTTTTTTGGTTTGGTTCATGATTTTTACAGAAGGATATCACACGATGTTCACTATTGAGCTCCATCATGGAGGGAGGTTCACAAAATTCCCAGGGATAAGCTACATTGAAGGAAAATTAGACCACGTTGACTTGGTAGACATGGATGAGTTCTCTGTGCATGAGTTGGACGAGGTGATGCTGAAGCTTGGTTATGAGGTACCACCAGTCATTTACTACCACTATCAATTGCCAAATGGAGATTTGGAGTTTGGTCTTAGAGCTCTAGGGAATGATGTTGATGTACTTAGTCGTGCACAGTACATTGAACATCATAAGATCATCAAGGTATACACTAAACATAATGAAACTAAGTTACTTACATACTTTATGTCTCCAAGAGTTAAACCTAGGGTCATAATTGAGGAAATAGCAGATGATGTGCCCATACCAAAATCAAATTCAGCAGTGATTGATTTGCATCCAGTAAACCAAAACCAGGAAGATATCCCAAATCTTGAATTGTGTTTGGTAAGGTATGAGACACCCGAATACAATTCAAATAGGAGATTGAGGTTAGTTGAAGGGAGTCAATCATGTAGTAAGAAATTGTGTTTCAACTTGGAACACACTGCAACTGTTGGTGATCAAGATGTACATGTTGAAATTGGTAATGAAGGTGCAAATATTAGTGATCAAGGTGCACATGTTGGTGATCAAGATACAGAAGTTCATGATCAAGGTGCAAATCTTGGTGACCAAGAAGTAAATACAAGAGTGTTTGATACCTTTGATGACCAACCATTTCAATTTGAAGACTTTGATCCTTTCTTTGATCAATATACTTTTAATGATGGTAATGATCAGAGTATGGGAGTTGGTGCAGAACTTGGCACAGGACTAGGTGAAGTTCAATTTGAAAGTGAGGGAGTTTGTGAAGGACTTGGTGAAGGAGGTAGTGAAGGGGGTAGTGAAGGGAGTGAGGAAGATAGTGACTTTCTTGAAGATGAAGAAAATTATGTAAGTGATATTGAAGTGGACATGAGTGATTTCTATATGAATGTTGATCTAGATGTTGAATATGTTGATAGAGGAAAGGGTGTTGAGACTGAAAAGGAAGATGTTGATACTGAAGATGTTGAAGATGTTGAAGTAATTGATAATGATGAATGGGACTCATTAGGTGAAGATACTGATGATGAAAGGAGGAAAGGAATATTAAAACAGATGGTGAAGGAGAAGAATTGCTCTCTTGGTGAAGTCCATGCAGTTACTTTTCAAGTGGGTCAAAAGTATAAAAGTAAAAAGGAAATTAAGGACAAAGTCAACAAACTTGCCATTGAGACTAGAAGGAATCTTGGCTTCAAGAAAAACAACAAAACAAGGCTTAGGGTTGTGTGTAAAGGTAATGTGCCTAATGTAAATGCAAGTGGGGTAGGTAAGGGCAATAAAGTGAATTGTTCTTGGTCAATGCAAACTTCAAGGTCAAAAGATAGTGATTATTGGTATGTGAAAACTTTACTGGACAAACATACTTGTGTTCAAACTAGAAAACTTAGGGCTTGCACTGCGAAGTATATATCTGTAGAAATCTTAGACATGGTCGAGTCTAACCCTACAGTACCCCTTCGAAGCATTCAAGACCAAGTTCATAAGAGGCTTCAAGTTGGTGTGTCCATACACAAAGTACAGAGGGCAAAAGCAACAGCTACAAAGCAAGTGAGTGGTGACTACACAAAGCAATACGAGGTGTTAAGAGATTATCTTATGGAACTACAAGCAACTAATGTGGGTACAACTATGAAGCTTGAGGTTGTTAATGAGCCTAACGGTGCTAGAGAAACAAGGCAGTTTAAAAGGGTGTATATTTGCTTAGGGGCATTAAAGAAAGGGTTTAAAGCAGGCTTAAGAGATATACAGGGACTAGATGGTCCTTTTATGAAAGGACCATTTCCAGGCCAAGTACTCACAGCAGTTGGATTGGATTCAAACAATGGCATATACCCACTTGCATATGCCATTGTTGAGACTGAAAATATGAGTAGCTGGAAATGGTTTCTAGAATGCTTGGGAGATGACTTAGAGTTGTACTCAAATTCTAACTTTACTTTCATGAGTGATAGACAAAAGGTACTATTTTCTTCTTTTTGTATTACTAATAGTTTATTTGTATATGAATATTGCAATGATTATGTAGGATAATCCTTTACAGCGACTCTTACCTGCTATTGCATAACTATACCCACAAGCTGAGCATCGATTCTGTCTAAGACATATTTATGAGAACATGAGGAAAAAATGGAAAACAAAAGAGTATAAAGATCACTTATGGCAGTGTGCAATAGCAACCACAGTATCAGAATTTGAACACTACATGAATGAACTTAACAAGTTTGATAAGGATGCTTTTGAGTGGTTGAAGAAAATCCCCCCTCACCATTGGGCCAGAAGCCACTTTTCAGGTTATATTCCCTACCTTAGGTGAAGCTTTACTAGTGCTCATTATATATGATTTAGTTCATATAATGTTCTTATTTAATACAGGCAGAGCAGGATCAGATATATTGCTCAACAATTTGTGTGAGGTTTTCAACAGTAAGCTTATTCATGGTAGGAATAAGCCCATCATAAGTTGTCTTGAGTACATCAGGCAGTACCTTATGAAGTGGATCTGCAATGTGAAGAAAGTGATGTCCAAAGCTCCAGATCCACTCACTCCAACAACATCAAAGTTACTTGAGAGAAATAGGGAAGCTTCAGTCCAATATAGAGCTAGATGGAATGGGACTGCAAAGTATGAAGTTTATGGTCCTTGGCATGACCAACATGTGGTTGACATGACAAATATGTCATGTACATGTAGAAGGTGGGAATTGAATGGGATTCCATGCAGACATGCCATAGCTACAATACATGAAATGGCTGATAGTGGAGACAAAGTTGGGGAGCTTTACACTTATGTCAACAAAGTGTATTGGCTTCAAACATGGAATGAAGCTTACTCTTACACTGTGGACCCTATAAAGGGTAGAGCCATGTGGCCAAAAGTACCTGTCCATTTCAATTAACACCACCACTACATCACAATAAACCTGGGAGACCTAAGACCAAGAGAAAGAGAAGTGCAGATGAAAAATATGATAGACAGATGCATAATCATGGTGCAAGTGAACCTGAAAAACTTACCAGAAAGTTTGTTAGTGTCAGGTGTGGGAAGTGCAACAATAGGGGTCATAACTCAAGGACTTGCAAGGGTGAAGGTGGGAATGCAGGAAGCAATTAAGGAGGGAATGCAGGAAGCAGTCAAGGAGGGAATGCATGAAGCAGTCAAGGAGGGAATGGAGGTGGCAGTCAATGCAGGAATTAGTGTATTTTGTTTAAAAACTTATCTTTTGGTTTAGCACCACTTTTGTGCATTTAGATGTAATGGTTTAAAAGTAGTTTGTTGTAATGGTTTTATTTTGGTCTTTTAGCCCTTTTGGTCATGAAACTAATGTCAACCTTTTGTAATTGTTGAAGAATGATGTTTATGGTTTATACCAACTTTGTTGTCTTGTTTATGGAACACATTTATGGTTATAACAACTTTCTTCTGAAACAACAAATAAACATTAACATTAGGTGATAACTGCAATACATTTTCATTACATCCTTGAAAAGGGTACCCATTTCTGAAGTTGTCCAAAATAACCCTAAATTGATATTACAATATCAAATACCAAAAACTACCACATTCCCCTGTTACAATTTCATAAGACCAAAACACCCAAAATTACATGCAACTACAAGGGTCCTTAATTCTTTATTACTAAATGAAAAGCACCCAAACCACCACAAATAGTAACCAACTTGCAAACAAACACATCTTCAATCTTGCCACTTGATAGTTTTCATTGTTGATATTCCTCAATAATCCTGGTATTATCAACATAGATCTTGCACACATTGGAGGATCAATCCATCCTAAGAATCTGCATATGGAACCCTTCACGTAAAAAAAACCCTAAACATGAGGGTGATTTTCCAAAATGAGGGTAAACTAGCAAAATCGAACACTTACCTTTTGAGGGCAGGAAAGAAACCTCCGACCAGGGTTTGCTGATGTCCAGGAGGTGCGAACCACCGCGTCCCTACCACAGAAACACATCACCATTTTAATTTTTGATCTCTAAGAAATTGTGAACACAGAGTAGGAAGAGTATGAAGCTCGTGAAGTTGAAGATAGAAGAGTGATGTAGCTCTGCTTTTATTTTGAATAAGGTTGCAAAAAAGGTCCATGTAAGTGGAAAGACGAAAATACCCCCGTCTATATTGCAGGTAACGGAGCATATGGACGGAAGTTAGTGTGAGGGACCAAAAACAATGGAAAAATTCAATTTTGGACCAGTGGTGCATTAATGTTTCGTTTTGGACCAAAGTCGCATAATTTTGCCAACCATAGGGACCATTTTTGCAATTTTGTCGTTTTTTATCCTTATATTTTACCCTTTAGAGAAT